AAATTGAAGACAAGTAATCCAAAAAAAGATGATGATGTCATCTTTACTTATGAAGAGCCTCCCAACCCAGATATTGTGAGAAGGAGACAATGGGATTATGTTTATTACCCTGGTAATGAAGAATATCAAAGAAGATGGTGTGAGATTTTAAATCTCAAATTTGTCACAGCTGCTAGAATCTTACCTGGTATATGTTAAAGTTGGCATACACTCGTGGGGGTCACAAATTTGGGTGTTGTTTACTATTGGGGTGTTGAATCAATCTAGCTTGGTGTTGTTCAATTGAAAGAGGGGTGTTACTACAACACTACAACTTGTGTCAAAGTTAAAGGATAGCCATGACACCCTTACAGGTGTTGCAATAACACTGTATTTAATACAGTGTAGTCCAACAACACCATTGTCCGATGAAAGAGTTCCTAATAGTACTCTTGATGTCCCTGGTGATAAGAACTGTTTATTTTATGCCCTTTCACATCTCATTACTGGGTCAATTTCTCAGCATTACGAATTACGTAAAGCAATTGTTAGTAATATGCCAAACTTTGAAGAATTGTTTAATAGTACATTAAGTGCAACCAGATATTCAAGCATATATGATTACATAAATAAGTCCAAAATGTATAGAAATTGTGTGTGGGCCACTGACAGAGATTATTACATTATCTGCAATATTAGGTACAACCATATATTCATATTCACTAATTCCTACTTTTGTTGGCTGGGGTAGATATGGAACCCAAACTTTATATGGCATTCCTTGTGATACTAATACACCTGCTTTGTATTTGAAGCATGTTGGTACTAATCATTTTCAAGCAGTTAAGTCTATTAATATTTCTTAAGCATCGATTGTTGATGGAAAGTGGGTATGGTGTATGGGAGGTCCATCATCTTAAAAACATTGGTTGTTTAATGTGACTTATATTTCACTGCATGTGCAATGTGAATGATGTGTGAGTCTGAAAACCATTGGTGCATATCCACCCAGTATTGCTCAGTATCAAGGGATCAAACTGCATTCAGGATGTGAGATTAATCAATGTATATAACAGTGAATATTGATTACTTGTTGCTACTTGAGAGAAATGCTTTGCTGCTTTAGTCGGGCCATTCTCGTAGGTATACTTCCCTATTCGTGCTCATTGCTCTGGTGTATAGTCATTATACTTCCCTCTTTGAGTGACTCCTGTCTTGTCTTCTTTTAGTAATTGTATTTTGTCTTAAACCTTTCTTTCAATCGTAGCAGACTCTTTCCTTGTATCACGACTGAAATACTTGAACAGCGCCATTTTCCTTTAATTACCTTATATACGTGGCGCTCACATGATGAACCTATGTAGTAGCATTATTATTGACCATTTTAATATTGATGGTTTTATTATGAACCACCAATCTGCCAAATTTAATTCTCCACCAAATTTTCCGGCTATACGGTATATAACACGGTAATATGGGTTAATACACCCTCCACCTTGGATACTTTTAAATGATATCACCCTTAGGCCTTCAGCCCTCAGGTGATATCACTTCACAGTACCCTCAGTGTTGGGTTATTAACCCATATATCGTCGTGTTATATATTATACATATATTATGTGGCTCTACCCTAAAATATAACGTAGTGTATATAGGCATCATGCACTTGAGCTCAGTGCTTATAGAAACTGTATAGCACTAGGCGGTATGTTGCAGATATTACATATAATTATGTATAAATTATGTGTGGTGACATATTTCATAATGAAACTTATTAAGACTGAAGTATACTAGAGCAAGGTATAATCGGAATAATTTCCTGGAGTTCCATTAATAGTCAAAAAAAATTAATAATGCTTTTTCGCCCTTGAAATGGGTGTTCAGGTGGATCACAGCTTATTGAGCCACACCTTTATCTACATTGCAGCAGCAGTGCAGCAAACATCCTGAAGCTTCGTTTCATTCTCAAAACCCTCACTAAGTTTCACTGAATCTATTAAAACTGTGACTGACAGATAGACTGTCGCGAAGCTATGTACTTTGGTGCTCAAGTTCATTCATTCATTTATTCATTCATTCTGTCCAAGAAGCAACTGTTTCATCTACATTTAGGTGTTGTGCTTTTAAAAGGGCAAGCCCTACACTGACAGAACTTGTCCATTCAATTGAAAAAGTTACTTTCTGCTGCTTTATTATGTCACAGATTAGTGCAAGGCATAAAAAGCCAAAAAACTGGCCAAATGTAGTAGGTTCTCCTATCATTTCATTATGCTTCCAGTAGCAGGACTTACTAGTACCTCTAGGGGGACACTAAAAACTTTTCTTAAAAAAATGGTAAGGTTTGGACAAACCCATACTTTGCTCTTTCAAACATCCTACGACAAAGAATTAAATGCATTTCAGGATTTGAGATATAATTGACACTGCAATATATCAATTAAATTAAAGCAACGATTTATCACGATTAAATTATTTTCTATCAAATAGGGTTAATTAACTATTATTAATAATTAACTACTGACACGTGGTTAAAATGGCAGAAGCTATTATTTCTGCTACTCCTTATTGTCCTTTGCCTGGTGGAAAGAGTAAAGTTTGGAAATTTTGTGGATTTAAAGTTGAAGAAAATTAAACCAAAAGGAGGTCCTTTGTCTATTGGAAGAGTGAAAAAGTCGCCTACCATATAGCAGGAATACTAGTAATTTGTTTTACCATCTACATGTATACGTAAGAACCACCGAGGGACTATGGGAAGATTGCTCCAACCACTGCCAGTGAGACTACTCCTGCATCTAGCAGTAGCACTAATCAAACTACTCTTACTTCTTATATTAGAGATCTAGTTCTAACTGTTGTGAATGGTGGAACAGGCCTACTCATCTCAGTAAGTCGCCCAGTATACATGTACATGTAAATGTCATTATTGCTCAATCGCAGAAACGCTGACATCTTGCTTCTGACATGAATTCCCAAATGTTTGATGTGCTTCTGATATGAATTCCCAAATGTCTGATGAGTTACTATTATCAACAAATGCAGTTCAATGTCACAATTGCTTTGGTAAATCTTTTTGTCAATTACTGTTAAAAGAAGCAATGATGGCGACCTTCTGCAAAGATGCTAATAAAAATAATGGCTATTCAAAAAGGAATTAGGACACAATATGAGGATCGTACACCTATTGGTTGTAATAAGTGTGCACAGCAACAAAACAGCGCAAGAAAGAGCGGCTTTGTTGTTTACCAGATAATGATGCTTTGGGACCACCAGATAAGAAAAATGATTTCGTTCCAGGTACAAAAAATTGAACTCATAGAACTTATGTTTAATTGTCACAGATCAGTCAACCACTTCTTGTCAAGCAAAAGGTGCTGTTAAATTTAAAAAATCTTAGAATATAAAGAAAGTGAAATTGAAGGTATCAATATGACAACAAGCGGCTAAAAGCCGACCTACAGAGAGTGAGGGATGAACTGGACGAAGTAAAAGCAGAAAAGGAGACTGTGGATAAAGTAAGCCACACCCTATAACCACGGCTACTTTGACCACACCCATTTTATTATTTTCCTTATAGACGTTAAGTGGTATCAAAGCTAAAGTGACCGAGAGGAAAAGACAATGGGACGAAGAAATGGAGGAGCTTAAGTCCCAGTACGAGGGAGAGATAAACTCGTTGAAAGCTCGTTATAAGAAAGAGAAGAGTTCCACTGACAGTGCACTGAGTGACCAGTTGAACCAGCTGGAGCAAGAGCTTAATGAGCAATGGAGGATCAAGAGTGAGAGGAGCGTACAGCAGACTGAGGAGAGATGGAAGAGGAAGCTACAAGATATTGATGTAAGGAGAGAGAGATTTTATGCTTGGAGAGAAGCAGAGATTTATAGTGGGAATTTTTAAAGATTACTTAGATTTTGTGGTTTTAAAAAAATTATGGACAAAAATTTAGCTTGATTGTTGACAATTTTAATTGTTTTACACAGTTGGTCAACCTTTTCCTTTTTTCTTTAGGAAGAGAAAGCTGCCATACAGCTGCAATTGGAAGAGTCCCGCTCTAAGATTGAAGCCCTCAAGTCTCAGGATTACGTGACAATGCTACGAAAAGCCGAAGATGAGCTTGAGAACCTTCGTGACGAGAAGTCCCGTTTAGAGACTCAACTCGGACTTGCTTTGTCGGGCGAAGAGAAAGCGAAGAACCAACTAAAGACATACATCGAGGGAGAGGGGGACAAGACAAAGGAGGAACTTGAAACTTTGAGGAATGAATTGGAAGAGAAGAGAAGAGAAGGAGAAGAGAGTCAAGCAATGTGGAAGGAGAGAGTTTCAGAATTACAAAAAGTTAGTAGCGTACAGCTGGAACATCGGCTAAGAATCTATTTTATTTTTATTGTTTTTTTTTGTTGTAGAAACTTGATGCAGCTTCAACAGGGGGTGGAGCAGCAGGGGGCGTGTCTCCGGAGGTCATAGGTCAAAAAGTGAAGTCGATAATGAATGACATGTACCAGTCACTTAATAGACAGTTTCGTACTAAGACTGACTTCCCGTCAACTGAGATACTGCAAATATTACTAGCCACTGTTAAAGTATGAGGACATGTAGCATTTGTATGAGATAACATAAAAAAATGGAGAATTCTCACCTTTTTAATTTTGGCGAAATTTACCCAAAGCCCCTGTACTATAGTACAGGGACTTTGGCCCGATTTTTGAGTAACTTTTAAAATTTGT